GGGGGGGGGGGTGTCTGGGTTGACTGTGAAAAGCCGGATAACATTGTCTCCATGTGCCAGGAGTGAAAAGAAATGACTCCTACAGGTTAGCCTTGCAGTGTTTCTTTATTTTCAACCCTGGGCTGAACTTTTTGCCACATCGTGTAGGGTTTGGGTAAGGATTTGGCACGTCTTTAAGGATTTTACCATGAGTCAGACCCCCGAAATCAACTTCAGTTTCTCATTGTTCTCAAAATGCCTGTTTGCACCAAGGGTTTCTTTGAGAACTGTTGCCCATCTCCTCTGCAAATTTGGAAATTTCTCTTCCAAGAGGCTGCTACTCCACCCACCTCTCTGGCTGCCTCTGCTGTTCCTTCTTCCCTTGCCCTGCTCCCTGAAGTGTGAAGGTAGGCCCACTACCCCTCCTGGGAGCCTTCCCTGGCCTGGCTTCTTGCTCAGTTCCTACTCCTCACATCCATTCCCAAGGCTGGGCTTCTTCCAGAGGTGAGGGACTCTCAAGATGGCGGCTGTAGCTGCCGTGTTTGGGATACCCACCCCCCTTCCACATGAATGTCCTGAAACAATGAACATATCCCCTCAGAGTAACGCAGTTGTTTTTAACGTATCCATCCTTAAAACCCAGCTCATCTGTTCTGGCTTCAAACAATTCATCCCTTCTCTGTGTGCTTCCCTTGCCTTTGTACATACGTCTATTGATCACCATCACAGTTTGTAATTACGGACGGCACAGCTGTGTGTCTACCTTGACCTTGGGTTTGTTGAGAGCAAGGACTTTCTCAGCGTCTAATATATGCATGTCACCGTGTGTATTTGTTGACTCTTAATTGATTAATAGTCATTTACATGCCCTGCGTGCTACAGTGTTGTGGTGTTAGGTGGGACACTTACTGTATTTGTCCAAAAGGGTGTTGTAGTGATTCAATTTTTTACCCCTGTTTGGGAGGTTTTTTCCAAGACTCAAACTTCTCTTTGATTTCCTCCTCCTCCCCATCTTCCTCCTTCTCCTCTTTCTTTTTAACCCAAGTAAATAGTGAGATGCACAAAAATTAAGTGTGTAGCTCACTGAATTTGTACATACACGCGCACCCAAGCAATCACCTCTTAGATCAAGACCCAGAACATCTGCCCCCGGCTGGCACTTTGATGCCCCTTCCTAGCCAGACCTCACCTTCTCCAAACATAGCTATGTTCGGATTTCTAGCACTGTAGACTAAGCTTTCCCTGTTTTTGAGCCTCATGTAAATCGAATCATACAGCTTATATTCGTTGTGTTCAGCCTTTTGTTGGTTCAACATTGTGTTCATGAGATGGGAACATGGCGACTGTTCTTTTTCATGACCGTGTAGTATTTTTTTGTATGAACAGAGACCACGGTTTTAGTACCACCCTATTATTATTATTATTATCATTATTTTAAAGAAAAGGTCTTTCTGAAACCTAGAATATTATTTTTCCACAAGTGTGTTTGGTTTTGTAATATTTTTCCTATCCTAAACATGTCATTGACACGTAAGTTAAAAAGTGTCCGTTTTCGGAAAACATGATTGAAAAGTAGGCCAATAAAAAATTAATAAGCCCTGAATCCCTTTCTGTAGAGCCGGGCCAGAAACTGAGCTTCCAGATTCAGGGTGTAGGACGAGGCTGAATGTGAATTTTGGACCGCGGGAATGGCCGGCGCTAGGCTCCTGGAGTAGAAAGCTCCCCCCTGACGTGCTGTTTCGTGTCTCCCCACCTCTCCTCGCATCAATGACTTCTAGTGAGATGAGTCAGAAAACGGTTAAGGAGGGCCCCAGACTCTCCAAGAACCAGAAGTTTTCGGAGCACTTCAGCATACATTGCTGCCCGCCATTCACCTTCCTCAACTCCAAACGGGAGATCGTGGATCGGAAGTACAGCATCTGTAAAAGTGGCTGCTTCTACCAGAAGAAAGAAGAGGACTGGATCTGCTGTGCTTGCCAGAAGACCAGGTAAGTGGGCTGCACTGCCCACTGGGCATCCGGCTGGGCGCTGGCTCCACGCCCCGTCCTACTCTGCTCCGCGAGTCTGGGCCGCTCTTCCCCCAGTGCCCTGTGGTCCACTCCCTGTTAGGTTCCGAAGGTACCGGAGGGCGATTGGAAGGTGGGGGGGGGGCAGGGCCTGCCTCCCTGTTTCCACCTCCTGTCAGCATCCCTTAAGGAGCAGAGGAGAGCCATGGCTCCAGCCTCCAGCTTCTTTTGGCCCCCTCAGCACCAGCCGCCGGGCAACGTCCCCTCAGAGGCCCAAGCAACAGCCAGCGGCACCCCCCGCGGTGGTCAGAGCACCGGCCAAGCCACGGTCCCCTCCGAGGTCCGAGCGTCAACCGCGCCCCCGCCCAGAGGTCCGACCACCACCAGCCAAGCAGCGCCCCCCTCAGAAGTCCAAGCAGCCGCCGCGCAGCAGCCCCCACAGAGGGCCGGGCACCAGCCGTGGGGGGTCCCCCATCAAAGCTTCTAGGTTCTGGTAACACCATCTCTTCCCTTTTGTTGCCCCAGCCCTAAGGTTAGTAGCTGCGTCCTGTGTTTACTAACGTCTGGGCTACCTCAGTGGCCCTCTCTTGGCCTTACCCAACCCGTGTCAATTCCCTGCATTAAATCCCCATGTTTGAAATACCTAGTGTGGCTTCTGTTTTCCTCATCGAGCTGTGGGTGTAGTACTTCAGGGGACAGTAGCTGTTGCTTCTTTGGTCCGAGAGGACTGCAACCGATTACTGTATAAACTCAGAGTAGCCACCCCAGAAACAGAGCACGCAAATGAGGCCCTCCATTGCTGTGCCTCAGAGACAAGAAGGGTGACTCTAGGGATAGCTGCACACGTGTAGAAAAGGAGAGGTTCAGCCAGTTCATCCACCCGTCCCCCTGACACACTTCAGCTGCTGTTAATCTCAGCGGCAACATCATCCATTCACTCGCGCACTCATCCAACAAACTTGATAGCATTCCACAGAGTTCCATATGTCATGGTGGGGGGATGGGGATACGGCAGTGAACAAGTCAGGTTGTGACTCACCAGGATGAAACAAGGGAGTAGTTGGTCACAGTGTAGGGTGTATGTACCTTAACGTTGTCATAATCAGTAAGTACGCTGGGGCTATGGGAGCCTGGAACAGGGTTCGACCCATCTGGGCTTCACAGAGGAGGTTAGGCTAGCGTAAGTAGAGAATAAAAAGGAACCTATGCAGAGAGAGGGTAAGGCAGAGATGTGTTTGTCTGTCTCATCTTAGGAGGGTCAGCTTTTTGTTTTTTAATAGACTTCATTTTTAGAGCAGTTTTAGGGTCACAGCAAAATGGAGTGGAGGGTACAGAGATTTCCCATATAGTCCCTGCCCACACGCATGGCAGGCCAATTGTTTAGTTCTTTTAATATGTGGAAATGAAGCTGCTTTGTAGGTTAATGGCGGGCGTTAATTGTGTTTGAGATTCTCATCCTTACTCTGCATAGCCTGTTACTCGGGGTGCATGTCACTTGCTGTTTACCGATGTACTATGCAGAAGAATCCACGGAGGAGCGGATTAAAGACGCCCCCCCCCCCCCCCCCCAGAGAATCCAGTTCCTTGGGTGACCCATGAGATCTGGAGATCTGCCTTTCCAACAAGCAACACCTCCACCCCAGCATAGCGACTCCGCTGGTATGCGGACCACCCTTTGAGAAGCGCTGACCTACATCATCCATAAATAAGTGACCCACGTTGTCTGTGATGTGCAGTAAAGACATGTGGAAGGGGCCACACGCGTGGCACTAAAAGCGAGAGCATTAGGAAGGTGCAAGATGGGGTGAGGTTAGTTTGTGAAGGAGGTAAGAGCCCGCCAGTGTCTAACTCTGGAATAGGAAGCTGTGTGCCGGGTTACCGAGTCCTTAATGAGGGCCCCCCAAGGGGCCTGAGTCCAGGGGGCCTGGCCAGGTAAGTTGTATATGGAGGTGGTTAGGAAGTGTGAGAAGTAGAGAAAACCAATTGGGTACGAGGCCTGTCATCTGCGGGGGTGGCTTCAAGCCACACCATGTGTAGTGAGTTGTGTGATGGCTGCTTGGGTGGCTGGGAGTTCAAGCAGGACACGGATAGGAGAGGAGGACCGTGAATGCCAAGTTCATCTGTCTCTGCCCAGCGGAACTCAAGAGGCTGGTGTGATTTGCTTCCCTCAGTTAACTGTTCTCAGTGGGTATCAGGCTGTCCTTGCCTCCTCAGCAATTGTCGCTCCCCTGGGATGGAGGACCCACAAGTCTCTGTTCATAGGGTCCCACAACACTGAGGATACGCGATTTGAGCCCTTCCTGAGATCCTCATTTTTCCTTCTCATATTCCCTGAGGAGATGCACTAGAGCCATTGCTTTGCCACGAGTTTATTCCCCCTGTTGACACTCATTGGCTATCCCAAATCAAAGGGGTGGGAGGAAGGTTAATGGGAAAAAAATTCACTCTTAGGCAGAGCTACTAAGCTGCACTTAAAGACAGGCTCAAAAAAAGATTTTCTGAAGCACACTTCCCTTCTGAAATGGTGCCACTCCTGAATTCTGACCTTTAAAGGTTAAAAAAGATATTGACAAAGGCCTTTCGGGTCCTTAGTAACCCCCTTGGGTAGATCTCAAGAACCAGAGAACATTCAAGACTTAGGACTGGTAGAATTCCTTGCAGCCCGACTGAACATTCTCATATCTGATGGGAGGAAACCCTGGCATCTCCCTCTTAATTTAGCCTACTCTCAATTCCTCAAGATTTTAGGATTCACAGGTCACCCTTGCCTTTAGCGTTGACACATGTTTCCTGGGCCAAGCCTCTTTTGGCCCCGCAGGGCTCTGCTTTGGGAGCGGAGGACCTGCGGTTCTCTGAAAGCCACTGTGGACTGTGAGTGACTGGGGCCAAGTGCACATCTTCGAGCAGTGCCGTGTGCGCCTTTGACTCATTCTTTCACAGAATTTCTTGTACCACATTGGGCCCCGCACACCAGGAGCTTGGAGGACCGATCTCTTCCCACGTGTATTTTCTAGCTTATTCATCAAGACCATGTGCACAGCAATGCACCAAGCTCTGAGCAATCAAAGAAAATGACGTTTGCCCCTGGTCCGGCCGCCCGGATGGGATTTAGGAGCGGCCCCTCCCTCAATGATGTTGTTCTTCCCTCCAGGAACCACGCTGAGCTCGGCGTCTCTATCCCAGCCCACATTCAGGGGGTCCCACCTGCCTGGTTCATCTCCTTCCCCAGCTTGCTTTTTCACTCTCTTGTCTCACTTCAGCAGGTGATAAAGTCAAAGCCCAAGAAAGACAACCGTATTGCTAGAGGGTAAAGGTTCTAAGTGGCTCTCAGGTTCTCCACAGAATTTGGTCTTTCGGAGACAGGGTGCTTTAGCTTTGAGTCTCAAGTTGAAGCAAGCAGGGTTCGGTATTTTATTGATCATGCACTGTCTTGGCCGAGGCATGACAGGGCATTGCTTCTAAAGGTTAAGACAAACACACCCACTGAATGACTACATGCTATCTATATCTGTATCTATCTATCTATCTATCTATAATATTATAGTTTCGAGTTTGTTTGGAGTTATCGGGACTGCCAAACAATAATCCAATTCTAAATACTTACATACTTGACAAGCTAGGACTTACTTCCAAAGAGCGCTGACCCAGAGCAATTACTCTGAGGGTCTGAGAGTGTGCACTGACAGAACCACGTATTGGGGCTGAGGTTCAGACTGTTAGATAAGGGGCATCTGCCTGCTTTTCAGGTGTGCAGACCCAAGTTTATTCCAGACCCTTCTACGACATGACTTTGTCCTCTTTTTGTCCTTCCTCATGCCAAGAGGTACATTCTGCCATTTTGTACTTCTGGAAAACCGCAGACCATTTTCTCTTTCTTTGTGCAGGACTGGCCAAACTAACCCTTCTGGTCCCTTTTCTGAGCCCTCCCTGAGTTTACACAAGCAAAAGCATTGACTTTGTATTCATGTCTTAGAAAGAATTTATTCCTTACGTGCTTGTGGAAAAATCGCACCCAGGCATATATTATGCTTAATCACAACCCAATGTTTACACCCTGGCAATCTATTTTTGGGCTCATCAGCCAAACAGAATCAGAAATGCATCTACCATTTCCCAGGTAACAGTGGAGTTAGGGAAAGGTAACTCTCAGATCGGGCTCTGGTCTGCCTGCCTCTCAGATTGCATCATTGCATTTATGAGTTTGGATGACTGAACTCTTGAGTCCTGCTCTACCTGAGGCATAGATCCCTTCCTGTCCAGGAGCAGGCTTCTACACATCGTGGCTGTCCCCATAGCATGGTGCCTGAGCAGAGCAGGCTGTCACAGAGGCCGGGGTTAGCCAGAGAGGCCTCTGGTCCCATGAGCTGTGGGTACTCTTCCATTTGGACAGCTCCTGCCTGGTTCCATGTCCCCAGTCTAGAGCGCATGGTTAACCAGTCTCTCTAACAACCTTAATGCCATTGTTGCCCATCCTCTGGCCACGCTCATCCCACAAATCCCTCACCTAGATCAAGTTGATGCCCTACGTGCACTACTCCAGCCTCCAGCTGATTGTTGATAGAGTAAGGCTCCACGGTTGCAGACAGCTGCTGAGCACAGCTAGGAGAAGCCCGTAGCCTTAAGGGTTGGTGCCACCATGAATGGTGAGCACCAGCCTCTCTCCAGACTAGTTTGCCTCCACCAGCCCCAACATGTTTATCAGGATATGCATCTGTCTTTAAATCCTTTCTGCCACTCATGTGTGGTCTGCGTGATCTTCCTCCCCCAACTCGTGTTTCCTCCGGGGTCTTGCTGCACTTCCCCAACAGCTTCAGCCTTTTTCTATGGTCTCAAGAGAAAGTGCTTTAGCTTTTAAACATGCTCAGTCGTCTCATAATGACTGAGTTCGCCTCTGGCCCTGTCTGTTCTCTCCTTTTCTCAGGCAAATTAAAAAAAAAAAGTAGTGTAAATTTATCACCTTTACTTCTCTAAATTGCATTTACTCCTCAACTGACTATGCCCTGATTCTTCCCAGAGCACCTCACTGAAATCTCTCCTGTGAAGGTTCCTCCAGAAGCAACAATGCTCGGGCAAGCAGTTCATTTGCGGGGAGGCAGGGGGAGGGAATGCTGGAGGAACGGGGAAGTGAGACAGAAAGGGAAGCAGCTGATAGAGAGTGTGTTATCAAACCAGTTCTCACTGTGGGCTCCCAGGGCTTAGTCCTGCTAGGAAGCCCTAGTTGCTAACGTAGGACGTGCACTCAGTTTTCCCAGCGAAGGGGTGAAAGAGCTGGGGTATTTATACACCAGGCCATCAGTCATTGGTCAACTAATGCTGCTTTGAGGATAGTGTTAATTCCTTGACACTTCTGACCTGCCAAGCATCTGGCCAAGCAGATGCCAAGCAGATGGCAAAGCAAGCTGCTGTAGCAGGAAAGAGCCCACAGGCAGAGAAAGGCATCTGGAATTTCAGCCAGTGTGCACACAGTGGTAAAGGCGAGGGGCCGTAGGCCAGGTAC